ATATTCCCATTTAACTCTTCAGTAAGTATGCATCTTGAAGAACAAAAGTGATACCAGTTGTTCTTTGTCAGAGCAGACAGGTCTGCAAACTCAAGGGTAAATGTGAAAAACACAATACAGCTCATGATTACATCCAGTGACTAACTTGCAAAACTCTTATTTCATATTTCTAGGTTTAGAAGCTTTAGAACCCGAGAGGCACGTCTGCACTAGTGCTACAACAATTATTCCAACTGGAAGCTGAGACTTTCAAGTACTGAATTTAAGTTCTACAAATTACTAGGAAAAGTCATCCCCTACCCATAATCCCCACTTAAAAATCAGCTTGTCAGCTAAGATAAGTAATCTTGACTGTCAAGGAGAAATGCAAAAGGGGTAATATACGAGTGTGGATGGAACCCTGGTGGTATCTGCTGGTATTACCAGACCTAGTGGTAAAAAGTAATTTAGTGGTAAAAAGTAATTTAGTGGTAAAAAGTAATCTAAAACCCAACACAAGTAAAACTACCAAGAGTGTAGATTTTACCAGAAAAGACTGAGATCCACCCCTCTCCCCCAACAAAGAGGTACAGAACACTGTCCAACAAAGTCATCTGCAGGCAAAGTTAGTTGCAAGCAAAGAAACAAAGGCAAATAATGGAAGAGGGAAGTCGTAAATACCAATTATAGCCCCAGTGTAGAAAAATGAGAGCATCAGTCCACATGTATATTTTGTTCTTTCCTGTTTCATGTAATTGTTTGTGAACTTTAACTAACTTTCCTTTTCTTTCTTCTCTATTTTTCCCATTATTCTGTAAACAGTATATACCAGGGTAGTTAAGTTTACAACTGAATCAACAGATTTAAAGATATGGAAATAAAGGATAAATGAATACCACCCAAAGATCCAAGACTGGGAACTAGATGCAGCAATTCATAAGACTTAGGTTATGTCATTTAAGGAGAGAGAAATGTATTTTCATTTGTGCAAGGAATGCATTAGGGAAGATAAGAATAATTTTTAAAAATGTAGTAATTTTTAAAAATGGGGAAAATGTATGTGTAGACATTGAAGAGTCCTAGTAGAAGACAGTAATACACACTATTTGTTTTTCTGAACTGTTCCTATTTGAGGGAAAGTCCCAAGATCAGAGGAAACAAGATTTTACCCCACCTGCAGAAGCTAAAATGGAGCAGATAATCCACCTCCCTATATCTTGAGATGGGGTGTGAGTACGTGTCCTAAACATAGCCAGTTGGTCCCATGCAGATTTTTGATTCTTGGGGAATGAAGTAAAGGTGTGTGAGAAAACCCATTAGAATATGAGCTCCATGAAGGTAGGAACTTTGTTCACTTCTACTAACCGCACCTACAACACTGCTAGTCACATGGTAAGTACTTAGTAAATATTTTTTAAATGGAGGAAAAAAAGGACAGTGAGAGATTATTTTCAGCACTCATGAGGGAATAAAAAGTCCAGTGATGTAGCTGCTAGTGTCCAGTGGTAAAGTCCAGCATGCGGTGTCTAGAGATGACACTGCCAGCAGCAATATATGAAGCACAACAAGAGTTCATCCTGTATCTATCCTTGACTCCCTTGGTTCCTGTCTAAAGCTGGTTCTCCATCCTACCTAACAATTCTTTTCTTTTCCCAATAGTCTTTCAATATATTCCTCTCCTGACTACAGTTAATCAAAACCGGTTTCTGTGACTCCCATTCAAGAATACCAACTAGTACAGAAGTATAAATGCACTTAGAATAATTATACCATCAGGGACAGAAAACAATTCACTGTACAGTTAGGTGCCACATGAAGACATTTTGGTCAACAGTGGATCACATATACAACAGTGGTCCCATAAGATTATAATGCAGCTGAAAAATTCCTGTCACCTAGTGACATCTTAGCATCGTAACATATCACTCAAGCATCTGAGTGACGCTGGTATAAACAAACTTACTACACTACTGTATAAATGTATAGCACATAAAATTAGTTACAGTACATAATACTTGACAATCAATGACTATGTTACTGGCTTATGGACTTATTATACTATTTATCGTTATTTCAGAGTGTACTCCTACTTATAAGAAAAAGAAATTAACTGTAAAACAGCCTCGGGCAGGTCTTTCAGGAGGTATTCCAGAAGGCACTGCTATCACAGGAGACAAAGACTCCATATATGTCCTGCCCCTGACAACCTTCTAGTGAGAACAGATGTGAAGGTGGAAGATACTGATATTGATCCTTACATCAGGATCAGGATAGTGTTTTGTGTGTGTTTGTGGCTTCATTTTCAATTAAAAAAAAGTTTAAAAAGTAGAAAAATAAAATAAAATTTAAAAAATAAAAACGCTTATATAATAAAAATATAAACAAACAAAATGCTTTTGTACAGTTGTACGATGTGTTTATATTTTAAGCTAGGTGTTATTATGTGAGTCAAAACGTTTTAAAAAATTAGAAAGCTTATAAAGTAAAAAGGTTAAACTAAGCTAAGGTTGATTTACTATTAAAGAAAGAAAAAAATTGTATAAATGTAGTATAGCCTAAGTGTACAGTGTTGATAAAGTCTATAGTAGTGTACAGTAATGTCCTAGGCCTCCACATTCACTCACCACTCACTCACTGATTCTTTCACAGCAAACTCCAGTCCTGCAAGATTTTCATGGTAAGTGCCCTGGACAAGCATAGCAGTTTTTATCTTTTATACCATATCATCACTATACCTGTTGTATGTTTAGATGTATTTAGATACACAAATACTTACCATTGTGTTACAATATTCATTACAGTCACATGCAGTACAGGTTTATAGCCTAAGAGTAATAGGCTGTACCATATAGCCTAGGTGTGTAGTAGGCTATACCACCTAGGTTTGTGTAGGTATACTCTATGATGTTCGCAACATAAAATCACCTAACGATAAATTTCTCAGAACATGTCCCTGTCATTAAGCAATGGATGACTGTAGGTACGTATGCATGTATGTATGTATGTACATGTATATATATGTATACGTGTGTGTCTGTCTATATACAAAAAACCTTTTGTAGTAGACTAGAAGTTAAATAAACCGTGATGACAGACTTATGCTCAAAGCTATTTTATTTATTAATCTAACAAATCCATTAATATGTTAGATTAGACCAAATGAAACCAGATATTAAAGCATTTTTTTATCTAAAAAAAATTTCATTTGGTTTAACCTAATATACCTAGGTTGTGTTAAATGATAAAGTAGTATTTATTTTCCCCTACTTAGTTGTTCTCAGATAGTTTTTAAAAGTTACCTTAAAAATCTTACTTAATTCATCTAATATTCTTAAATGCTTAGCTTTAAAACACTACTAATAATACCACAAAATCTTGTTATATGGCACTGATTGAGACTTATAGAATGTTAACCCGCTTAAAATCTATAAACAAGAGACAACTTTGGGGGAAAAATAGACACATTCAATAAGAATGAATTAGAATCACAGAATGAATTAAAGTCACAGGCATTTTGTAACCAAAAGAACAACTAATGTGACTGACATTCAGGCTGTTTGTCTAAAACTCCTCCAGTCAAATGGGTATTCATATTACCCTTAAAGTCATTAAGGAAGAAAAGCGCATAACTTTTCCAGTAACCAATTCTAGTTACCAATACCCAGAAACCTGTTTTGGGGGTAATTTTTTTCTTGTATGTTTGCCCATATCGTACCTGCTACATTTCCTTTTACATTTACAGAATTAAAGTTAGTTCCTCATTAGACAACATTTATTAACTCTTCATATATTTAAAGTTAATTACTAATTTAGCCCTCAGCATTTCTCTTTATATTCACCATCCTAATTCCTTTAATATTTCCTCAAGAGTCTATTTTCTAGTCCTTTTCTCATATTCATATTCTGTGAACTTACTGCACATTTGCCAAATCTTCCTAACCGGAGAACTTAGTATATCCTAAAAGCAGATCCAACATGAATGAACAGACTAATTTGAGGGGTAGGTAAAAATGTACCCCAAAAAAGAAGATCAAAAAGGAATCAATGATACGGAGTATGCAGCAGGAGCTACAGGGATTGTCAAATACCCCATCATTCTTAATACAGGTGCAAAGCTAAAAGAAATATGCTGTAGAAAACGAGATAAAATAGGTTTGCTCTTGTGTTTCTTCCTTTTCTTTAAAATTTTTTTTTAACAAAGTCCTCTAAGAAGGGTCCAATAACAAATGATTACATTTTGCTCTAACACAAGAGTTCTTAACTGTCATCACCACGCTCTAAAGTGTTTGGCCAATGAGGAATTTTTTACCTGAATGGCACTTCTTCCTGTGGAACATCCACATAGTAACGAATAAAAAATCTCTCAGAATCTTCTCGTTCACCATCAGTAACAACGCTGCCATTAAGTTTGGATACTGATGGCAATCTATAAGTTAAAACCAAAATAAAGACGTATTTTAAGATACTTATATATTTAGCTTTAGAAAGAAACTAATTGGCTTGTGGGCCAGTCTCATTTTCTTGAAAGGACACATTTGATGTAGTTCCATTTGTATACAACTACTGACATGAACTAAAGTGGTCTAAACTGAAAAGACAAAAAAAATTGAATTTGACTTTCACGTGACACTGAACTTTCATAATCATACCTCCCCTTTCAAAACAAGATTCTAGGTAGCACTGTCCAACTTAGATTAATATAATGAAGCCACATATGTAATTTTAAATTCTTTAATGGCCACATTTTAAAAAAATAAAAATTAAACACATGAAATTAATTTTAATATTTCATTTAACCCAATGTATCCAGAATATATAAATATTTCAACATGTAATCAATATTTTTAAATGAGCTAATTTACATTTTTAGCCATATAAAATATTTGAAATCCAGTATTTATTTTACCCTTATAGCACATTTCAATTCAGACAAGACATATTTCAAGTACTCATAGCTACACATAGCTAATGGCTGTCATATTAAACAGCCCAGTCTAGAGAGTAGTCAGTAAAACTGGGTTATATAATTCAAGAATTAACTTATTATATTTGCAAAAGAATTGTGTAAAGAAAATAAAGCACAAGACCTACTGCAAGACGTATTCTTCTTCAAAGAAAAGTATGCTCACATTTATTTCTTCAGAAAGATATTAATGTGTACGTTAACAACTACAAAGCAGTAAGGATCTGCTAGGCATTAGCTTGTCACAAAGATCAACAACCTGTTTAAAGAACCACTCTTCTTTAGAGAACCTTAAAGCCTACAGTTCCCCTTTCAAAACTAGTATGTATAGTATACAAAGAGAAAAAAAGCAAAGCTCTATGGCCCTTGCATTTTAGCCCAAATCTTATTTCTGCTAAAGGTTCATACAAAAATAAATACTCATGGGAAATTCCCAATTATGTGGAGGCAGCGGCTGAGACACAAAAGGTAAGGGGAGTTAGAGAGAAGATAATAATGGTGGTCATATTTAAGTCAATCTACATTCAAGAAGAAAATGCAGATGCTGCTCTCTTAAGTTTTCCACGAATGAAACAGTCCAAGTTTCAGGAATTTGCGATCTGAATAATTAATACGTTAACAGCGAAAATAAGGACAACCATAATAGAAATGATTCCCTACTGTACGTACTTTTACTTTGTGACCCCAAACAGGACTTCAAATATTCTAAGTATTAAAAAGCATAAAAACAGATTTGTAGAGAAATTTTTCAGTGGTGTCAGCAGCCCAACTACATTTCATGTTTTCCTCACATCATACTGCTCGCATTCCTTTTCAGCAGGATTTGGAGCTACAGAGGCAGCTCCTTCAAGCACAGTCTGCTCAAAGGATGAATAAATTCATAGTGCACTCCCACTAAATAGTGCATTATTCCTTTAATGAAACAATAAGGCCTCACAAAAATAAAGCAAAACAATCAGGACAACAGACCTGGCTATTACCAATTTCCTTCGCTCCTCAGTGGTATAAGGCTGCAGAAGAGGAATTCCTAACAATCTCACTTCTTCCAGTTTGGGAAATGAATTTAGCTTATCAATGTCTTCCCAGGACTGCAAACCTAATTTGAGAAATATATTAAGTAAATCCAGAGATGCACACAAAGAAGAAAAGAAGCATAGCAAAAATATTAGCTCAATTAATAACTTCTGAAATGTTAAAAATGATCATAAACTAAATGGTCTGAAAGTTTTCTTTATCCAAGGCAAGAGTAGAACATAGTTAAAACCACAAAAACTTCCCCATAGCCTCTCCCACCTCTGTGATCCAGGGGTTAAGAAAGAAGAGCGTTATTGTCTAACATCCTCTCATCTACTCATTTTCTACCAAAATGACTTATAAAGAGGGGTCACTGGTAGTTTCATCAATAAGCAGGATGTATGCCATGATTACATAATTTAAAGAAAGCTATGTGACCAACTCATTTCATTCAAATATAGACTCATGGAATAAAACTATTGATCAGAGTTGATACTAACATACTCAAATTTTTACCTGAAAAATTCTAAAATGAGGCAAGGTTGACAGAACCAGAAACTAAATACAGCTGTCCCTCGTATCTATGGGGGACTGGTTCCAGGACCTCCTACAGATACCAAAATCCACAGACGCTCAAGTCCCCTATATAAAGTAGTATAGTATTTGCATATAACTTACACAAACCCTCCTGTTTACTTTACCTCTAGGTTACTTTTAATAGCTAATACAATGTAAATAATTGTGATACTGTATTGTTTAGGGAATAATGACAAGAAAAGAGTCTGTACGTGTTCAGTACAGACACAACTACCCTTCTTCCCCCGGTATTTTCGATCTGCAGTTGGTTGAATGCATGAAGAGTCCATGAATATGGAGGGGTGACTATATTATGAATTTGGTGACAGGAGAGAGAGAACTAAAATTTAAAACAAACAAAAACAAAAACCTGAACCTTTGAGTAAGGAGAATATGTAACAAATTAAGATTTTTAGTCCTAAAATGAAACTCTTCTTATAGCTATGAGAAACATGTATTCTCCAAGTCAATACTTAACTTCTAAGTCAGGCAGGTCTTCTACATAGGAAAAATTTTTCTATAATAATGAAGCTGGTCAATTTCACAATGCATCAAGTCTATTTCGGAGAACAACATAGTCCCATCCTATTTTTATCAACCTTCAGCAGGGGTAAAGACAGAGGAGCAATTTAGGAGGTCTCTGGTGTATAACTATCCCAAGTCACAACTACCTTCATCCCTTAGAATGGCATTTCCATCAAGGAGGAAGAATAGTTAGCTCAAGGGTGTCAAGGTATGAAATAAACAGCTTCCTTGTGCAAAACACCGGATTTTAAAACTTACTTCCCACTTTTAAAACCTCTATGGTAAATTAAACTAAGTTTATGCTTTTTCAGTTGTAGGTTAGAGTTATTTCTAATTACGTAGGTGTTTTAAGAAATTAGCTAAGACGGCCAGGCGCGTTGGTTCACGCCTGTAATCCCAGCGCTTTGGGAGGCCAAGGTGGGCGGATCACGAGGTCAGGAGATCCAGACCATCTTGGCTAACACGGTGAAACCCCGTCTCTACTAAAAATACAAAAAATTAGCCAGGCGTGGTGGTGGGCGCCTGTAGTCCCAGCTACTCGGGAGGCTGAGGCAGGGGAATGGCGTGAACCCAGGAGGTGGAGCTTGCAGTGAGCCGAGATCGCACCACTGCACTCCAGCCTGGGCAACAGAGCAAGACTCCTTCTCAAACAAAAAAAAAGAAAAGAAATAAGCTAAAAGACAATATCAACAGAATGAGTAAAAAAGTCACAGACTGGGAGAATGTATTTGCAGAAGACATATCTCAGAAAGAACTGTTATTCAAAATATACGAAGAACCCTTAAAACTTAGCAATAAGGAATAAAAAACAACCTGGCTACAAAATGGGCCACAGACCTGAACAGACACCTCACCAAAGAAGATGTACCGATAGCAAACAAGCATATGAAAAGACGTTCAATATTATACATCATTAGAGAATTGCAGGTTAAAACAAGATACCCCAATGTACCTATTAGAATGGTCAAAATCCAAAACACTGAGAACATCAAACTCTGGTTAGGATGTAAAGCAAGAGGAACTCTTGAACTGCTGGTGGGAATGCAAAATGATACAGCCACTTTGGAAGACGGTTTGGCAGTTTCTTATAAAACTAATCATACTCTTACCATATGATCCAGCAGTCATGCTCCTTAGTATTTATTTACCTAAATGAATTGAAAACTCATGTCCATACAAAAACTTGTACACAGATGTTTACAGCAGCTTTATTCATAACTGCCCAAACTTGGAAGCAACCAAGATGTCCTTCAGCAAGTAGGTGAGTAGATAAAATAAACTGTAGTACATCCAGAAAATGTAATAGTATTCAGCACTAAAAACAAATAAGCTATCAAGCCATGAAAAGGCATGGAGGACTTAAAGACATATTCCTAAGTGAAAGAAGCTAATCTGAGAAGGCTACATACTGTATGATTTCAACTACATGACATTCTGGAAAAGGCAAAACTATGCAGATAGTAAAAAGATGAGTGGTTGCCAGGATTGAGGGGGTAAATAGCTGGAGCACAGAGGATTTTTAGGGCAGGGAAACTATTCTGAATGTTACTACAGTGGTGGACATGTGTCACTACACATCTGTGAAGATCTGTAGAATTTACAACACCAATAGTGAACCCTAAGGTAAATTATGGACTTGAGTGATAACGACGAGTCAACATAGGTTCATTGATTGAAATGGTACAAATGTCCCATTTTGCTGTGGGTCACTGACAGTGGGGGAAGTTGTATATATGTGGGAACAAGGGGTATATGAAAACTCTCTGCACTTTCTGTTGAATTTTGATGTAAACTTTAAACTGCTCTAAAAAATAAAGTTTATCAATAAAAAAGAAATAAGCTAAATATATTCATTCCTGTGATACACAGGATCAAATGGCAATAAACTGACAATCAATTACATACAGATACTAAAAAAGTCAGCATTTGAAAAGACATAGCAGGTTGGGATTCCTTAAACTAAGTCCAGATAAAATGGTCTATTTTGTAATTCTTTGTACCATTTTTACTGTGTCTTTTAATATCCAGTGGATGAATTTCATTTCACACTTTTCATAGCATGACCCCTTTAATGTATAAAATATAAACTGTCAACGTAATGCTATGCCACTCAGTATTTATCAGATCATTTATGAAAATCAATGTCTTAAATTTAGCCAATCATAGGCATCTGCATGTCATATAGAAAATTCACTCTAAAAAAGATAAAACTGTGACTGAAAGAAATATACTTTCATTGTATTTCATGCATATGCTCAGGTTAATTTGAATGTAGAATAAGAACAAGCCTGAACCTCACCTGACTTGTGGAGGCTGATGGATCGAAGATTAGGAAACAACCTGGCCAATGAATCATCAGGCTCCTCAATAGCATTCAAATGATTGTTGGCCAGGACGAGGGTATCCAGTGAAGGAAACATAACTCCTAACTTTCGTATTTCAGTCCAGTCTTGGAGGTTATTGTCTGTTATATGTAGTAGCTTAAGAGAATGACAGCAAATAGAAGGACAAGACACTGTTTCATAGTCATTAAGGCACAGGAAGAGCTCCTCCAAACTGCAGAGACAAAAGGAAATATTTCATGTTTAAAGCAGTTTAGTTTCTACTTTATATCTATTTTCATTCATTCAATAAATAAATAAATAAGTGCCTATTATATGTGAGACTCTGCTAGGAATTGTGGAGAAAATACCAAGATGTCTTCCTGAAGTTCAAACTATAGCTGGGAAGACAAAACCTAAAGTACACACTGAAATAGCAAAGAATGATGTAAGGTAGTGCAAAATTACTTTTGTGCTGAATTAAGTACTAAATTAAGCAGTACTAACTGTAAGTATAATAGTCATTCACATAAGAATGAAATTGAAATTATAGTTAGAATAACCAGGAAAGGATGCATGGCCTTGAAGGAGGGGAGGACTTCCACAAGTTGAGAGGACATAGAAGAAAATTCCAGAAACAACATGAACAAATGTTTAGAAGTAGAAATAATAACTATCATTTGTTGAATCCCTACCCTGTGTCAGACCCTATGCCAGGTGTATTACAGATTTTATCCCTACTTCTGCAAGGTAAATGCAATTATGCCCATTTTACAGACAAGGAAACTGAGCTCAAAGAAGTTCAGTAGCTCATCAAAGGTCATATGATTAGTAGTGAAACTAGCACTTAAATGCTCATTCTGTGCCATGCTGGGTGTTGGGTGCAGTGAGGAAACCAATCTCATTAGAGTGAGAGTGCGAAATTAAGATGGAGTAAGTTGGGTGGGACAAGATTCTAAAGGGCTTTGAGAATTTCCACATTTATACAGTCAAAGAAACTACCGCTTCTTTAAATTTCCTTTGCACACTTACATGTAAATACAAAGATAGAGACAAACGAAACATAATAAAGCATTTTTTAATTGACTAAAATATAATTTCTTTCTTAATTTATTGAAAACAATACTAGGTCACTTTTCCCATCAGATCAGCTAGGTACTTAATCATCTGAATGTTAACACATTTTAGTGATACTATGACTTTTTCCTCCCAAAGAAAAGGGCTGAGGCTCAATTCTCATATCAGAAGATTAAAATGGAGTCAGGCTGAGTTGATTTAGAGTGATAAGTGCTTCTCAGGGGTATTTTCTAGCCCAGAGATGACATATCCCATGTCTTGGTGCTACTCAACACTGAACATGTATTCCACTGGAAATGCTACTAGATTACCCGCACATTTTCATTCCAATAACTTCGTTTTTCTAACCTCTTTCTCCACTCAATCTGCAGTTCTAGTATTTCTTGGGTGGGAGATCAGCAGTAATCCTATGTACTAACACAGATGGCAACATAGCTCCCTTGCCCTCATGCTCTCTGGGCTTACTCTGGTAACTCCTGCAGTATCGTGTGGACTGTCTCCCAAGAAGCTTTGCTGTTGTTGAGGACAAGTTTGCGAACCCCAGAGAAGGACCCAGCACATGTTCTTTCTAAAACCGACAAATTCAGAGGGTTGGAACTCAGGTTTAGAAACTCCAACTGAGGAACATTTGACACAATTTTACTGACCTAAGGAGAAAAAAAGAAAAGCATTATCAGGCAGTAATCAGAGCTGTTAAATAGCAGTCATGCTCAAGAAAGCCTAGGGGAGCGGGTCTCCAGGCAAAGGGCTGTTTATATCAAGGAGTCCTATTTAGTAACGGTACTCACAGAGGGACATAAGTGATTTCAACAAACCTTGGCAAATAATTTAATCTTTCAATGAAATAGTGGCAGAACTGACTGGTACATAACATAACTTAATGGTAAAAAGGAAGATTTCCTATGTTGCCTTTAGAAAGGCTTCTGATTCTGCTCTATGTGATGTTCTCTTTGATAAGTGGAGAAAAGATAGTTTTGATGACATTTCTTAAAGAGTTGAGATTACTTCATATAATTCTCTTTGAATATCTCCTTCCTCTCATTCTTAGCAAAATATTAAGGCTAATTAAAGGTTAAAATTCACCTGGTACTAATTCATGTGTTAAGTTTGATTATATTATCACAATCACTTAGAAAACAGTTTCAATTTGGTTTAAAGATGTACCAAACTTAAAATATGTTTACTCAAAAACAAACAAAATCCATAACTATATAATGAAAGGGAAAACAAGATTATCAACGATTTAGCTAGCAACTTGGTAGACAAAAAGGAAAAAAAGAAAATGAGCATTACTGACTTTAACTATTTGGTCTGCATGGTACTAGTCTCTTTGATATAGTTTATTCATTAAATTCTCAAAACAGCTTGCAAGATAATACTACTTTCATTTTAATAAATGAGGAATCTGAGGCTCAGAAATGTTAAATAATTTGACTAAGGTCTTATAGTTACAAAGGTCAAGTCTGGGATTTAAAATTCAGAGCCATTTTTCTTTCCAATATGCCATATTTATACATCAAAAATATAACCAGAAAAAATGAATAAAGAAGACTGAAGACTATTTGGTACAATCTGTGAGAAGGATCAGCTTAAACAAGTATGAAATAAATGCTAAATGTCCAGTAAATGTATTAAGCATCAAACAGCCAGGCAATGTTGTAAGTAAAAGTTATAAGAAAAGGAGAAAAGAGTAGTTAGGATTAGTTTTAGAGTAAAAAAACCTGGGTTCAAACGAGGTTCCAACACTTCCTAGCTGTGTGGTTTCAGACAAGTTACTTAACCTTTCCAAATCTCAGTTTCCTCATTTGTAAAATAGGGAAAACAGTTCCCATCTGTTGGTAGGATTAAATGAGATACACATATAAAGTGCTTAGCATAGCAAGTGACACATTTTTTTGAAACTTGTTTCCCCACATCCCCCCAATAGCATGTAAGCGCTGTAAAAGCAGATATAGTACTTACCTACTTCACTACTGCATAGTGGGCACTTATTTATTGAATAACTTAATGGCACTAAATCATTTAATAAATGTAACTACTATGAACATAAGCACAGTATGAACCATTATCTCAACCCTGGCTACTCAACAGAATCACTGACAGAATTTAAAATACACTGATTCCAACGTTCCACCATAACTACTGAAACAGAAGCTTCATAGGTGGGACAAGCTTCAGGGTTGTAACCTGAATATCTTTCTTTTCAGAGCTCCAGAAGTAATGCCAAAAGAGTATCCAGGAGGGAGAACCATAGGTAGAAAGAAAAAGTAACCTGTATTTTACATCAGATCTACTGTGTAAACATTCAGTTCAGGAGCTCTAAAATCAGTGAGAAGTAGATTAATTCCAAGAAGTTTCAGAAGAGTGGGTGAGAAGAAAAAGTTCCCTGCATTCACTATTTCACTTATTCCACACACTAACCCTATAAAGTGGGTACCATTTTTATCTTCATTGTACAAATGAAGAAATGAGCTGATTTTTAGAGAAAATACACTAGGCTTCTGTTTAAAGTGTAAGGAATTTATACCAGTGTGCACATATCCTCTTGCTTGATCCCTTTTGCAATCAAATGGTACCAAACATTTGTGCAATATATGGCTAGTATTTGGAGCTTAGTCTGTGACTAAAACACAGCTAAATAGTTCATGCAGGAACCAATCTATATTGCATTCTATGACTGAATACCAATATGAAGAACTTTCATACAGAAGATGCTTACCAGCTATACTTAACCTCTTTGTGGGGGTGGGAGGGGGACAGGAAATATGCTCCAACTAAAGCATAAAGAATAACTCAATTATAGGACAACCCCAGTTAAATAAAAATAAAACATGAACTCTTTGCTAACTATTACCACTCATATTTTATTTTTCTAATGAAGAGGAAAACACTTTAAAAAATAGTCAATTTAAGGGTTTTGAAACAATTTCTGGGAGATTTCCCAAGGCTAGCAGATATATGACATAATCACCACAGTCTGCATCAGCATTACCGCACAGGGAAAATAAATATTCAGAATAATGACTTGTTAACTCTAGAATATCCTAAAAGATAAAACTGGACTAGAATTTAACCATTCAAGCAGGAAAAATAACAAATGTTAGAAATAAATGAATATTTTCTTTAAAGGGATGAAATAAAAAAGGTTTTTTTGCGTAACCTCAAACTGATAAGGCTCAGGAAGACATAATATTCATTACACAGATAAATTTACTTATGACAGAAAAATTTCCCAGTACCAAAAGCTGACAAACATTCCATGAGTTTCTAGGGCAGTATACTGACTTCTCTTTTTTAAATTCTAAAAATAAAAAAGACTCCTCCAACTGGAATGAGTATGCTCATGTGCAGAAACATGGAGATGAACTCAGATCACCTTTTAGGTTTCTACAATTCTATTATTTAATAGGGGACCCTTTACTTTGGCTTCTAAAAAGGAAGAAATTGAAGATTTAAGAAAAATGGGAAAAGGGTTTTAAGATATCAATCTGTTATCTATACCTAAGCTATTCTCTACCTTACCTGAGTGGCTACTTCCTCCCTCCTCTCAACCACTAGGTTTAATTTCTTTCATAAAATGGTTTTGATAAGTAATGGAGTAAAAAGAAGGTACCTTGGGAAAGGACAAACAAAGATCTACTCAGCCAAAAATTCAAGTCAAAAGCTAAAAAATTACATTATTTTTAAACATAGGTGCCCAATTTTAGAAGGGTGAAGGCAAATCTTTGCCTCCCCAAAAGTATTACTTTTCTCATCCATATTTATCTTAGTCTCTGGATATACAGCAGCCAGCAAATTAAGCTACAAAAGAAGTTACTCATAACCTATAATATTCTTGGTCATCCAAAAAACTAAGGGAAAAATATACAACTGGTTCCACATTGCCCTATCAGTACTGGCTGAAATAAATTCCGTTAATGGCTAAGGACAAATTATCTTTTTGGTAATTGGATATATGGGTTATAATGGGGTTGAAATGTAATGTCCTAAAACTGGCAACCTATGAAGCATTTGTAGCCTGGCAAAGAGTTTAATCAATCCTAAAAATCAACATTCTTTTGTCATATTTCTCCCTTCTCTATGTTCTGATATATCCTCTAGAAGACTGGGATCAACTACAGTTAAGGATAAAGAGGAAATAATAAAGGAATGATGAAAACAAAAATAAATTGGAAAATGGATACCTGAAAGTAACAGCAACAAATATTTACTTGAAAACTGCCTGAAAACAGACAATAGAGCACTTAGGAATATGCAAACTGAGTACAAATACAGTATAAACAAGTATGTGGCCCTCTGGCTACATGTCAATGTGGCTTGAGAAAAATTTAACATAGACCTTTGTCTAAGCAGAGAAAAATGCTGAATTACTTAGTTTACACACTGTGTACTGATCTGTACTATACACATCTTCCTCCTGAGGTAGCAACTATATCACTATTAAACTGTTCCCAGTAATTAGCAAAAGCTTATATACATGGTCAAAGCACAAAACCTTTGTAAAATTTTGTATTTCCAAAGAAACAAATTTGAAGTGGAGACAAAGCATGTGTGGCAATTAAATGTTGCAGAGGACCAAGAAGGCACAATCTGTAATTTGTTAAACAGTAAACTATACAAGTTGTTCAGATAAGTAAATAAATACATATACAAATAGAAGTTATTTCTTAGAATAGCCCTATATATCTGCATATGTTAATAAATCACTCAGAAATAGGTGACACGCATTGCAAAGAATTTTGGTTAAAATCCTAATAAAAGTAGGAAATATAACCAAGAACACAGTTACCAGATTAAACAAGGGCATAAAATAGATAAATATAAGAAAAGCTTACCAAAACTAGGTTATGGATAGGTTTTTCTTAAACAAGAAATCTGTCTTAGAATTTGTATAGCATTCAATATCTACTAAGTGTTTCAATGATTAATTTTATCAGCAAGCCTATCTTACGGATGAGCAAACTAAAGCTCTAAAGGATTAAGTGAATTTCTTAAGATCACAGGAAAAGTTGGAACAAGAGGTCTTGAGCAATTCTTAAAATATAATCATTTAATGATTAACACACTCAACAAACATTTGACTACTTGGTATGCTGGGCTTATGATTTAAAAGAAGATAAAAATCTCCACTTGGAATAAGCTCATAGTCTATTAGGAAAACTGTGAAGTAAGCAAGTCATCACACCTGACTGTGATAAATCCTTTCATACTGGTATAGTGTAGGTGCTCTGGGATAATCTGTCTGTGAGACAGCCAGGGAAAATTTCACAGACGAATAGCAACTTGGGCCAAGTCTTGAAGGATAAATAGGAAGTGGCCAGGTAGACAAGAGAAGAAAGACAGCAGTGGGTTCAGAATGAATAAAAGCAAGGAAGCTTTTTATTTCGAGTTTATCATGAGCTGCAAGTAAAAGTATATGGCTAAAGGGGGAGAAAAAGTTCTAGAAATAGCAAAGGGCCATATGATGAACAGCCATGCTTACAGGGTCAGACCTTAGTTTCCAGGCAAAGAAAGGCAACTATAGGCCTTTATGCAGGACAGCGTCATAATCATGCTTCATGTAGTAAAAGGAGTCTGTGGTAGCACTATGGAAGACAGCTTAGCGGAAGCAGAATAAAGCCAGATCCAGGAAAACCCATTAGGAAAGTCTTCCTAAAGTCACATCAAAAAGTAAGAGCCCAAATTAAGGCAGAAGAATGAACCAAGGAGGAAGAACATTTTAACCTTATTCTTCAGGGTAGCTTCTATCAGGTAATGTTATAAGCAGGTAGGTAATGTTATATATAATAATAAGAGAATGTTACAAAACTGTATTTGTGTACTTTTACAAACTATGTGTGTAGTTTATAGTTACTCTGAGGTCAACACATCAGTTATGTCAAACCACCCAAGGGATCTGATAACATAAGAAAAGTTGTAAAATATTTGAATAAATTTCAATAACAAAAATAAATATATTTATAATCTCAGTTTCAACAATCAATTTTATGTCAATTTTCAGTAAAATTTACATTACTGAACATTCAGTCAATATTTATATTGAAGTAGAAGTAGAGAATGAGCATAGGACGCATAAAGTAGTGAAACAGTAGAAAATTTAATGCACTGTTAGCAGTTTAAGCTGACAAAGACTAATGAACCTCTTGATGCCTGAGTTTCCTTAGCGATTTTCACCTTGATGAAAAACAAAGTAACAATAACAAAGCTAACAAAAAATCACCATAGACAGAGTCAGTTATTTGCCTCTTTTTTTTTTTTTTTTTTTTAATTAAAGATGGGTTCTTGCTATGTTGCCCAGACTGGTCTTGAATTCCTGGGCTCAAGTGATCCTCCTGCCTCAGCCTCCTTAGCACTGGGATTATAGGCCTTATTTATCTTGACATACAGACATACAGACAATAAGATATACAGACAACAAGAAGCCATACAGACATCAAGTAAGAACAGAATTTAGAACATATAACATAAACAAGGGTTATTGCTGCTTTTCACCAAAATGTAGCAATATAAAAACTTCACCTCATGCCAGTCTTCGAGTTTGTTGTCAGACAGATCTAGTTCCGACACATGAGCACAGAAGGCAGCAATTTCCTTCTCATCTCCTGCACAGGTTATTCCACAGCTGTTCAACACTAGTACACTTGGGAGGTTGAGGCGATCTGAATGATGGGAGACACAAAATACTTTCCATATCAGCCAAATTCTAGTCTACCTATGTTCAGTCCCCAGGAATTGTCAAGAAACAAAAATCAAACTGTGTGAAATTACACAAGGATCTAGAAAATACAGGATATAATGGGACCAAAGGGTACTGAATTCTAAGAAGAGACACCCAGTTATTGCCCAGGAGGAGCTCAGAAGTACTGCACCAGTACCACCAAAAAAAGTCCTTCAGGCTTTAACTCATAGCAGGATTGTTTATCTCAATTACCAACAACAGAGCCCTCATCCATGCTATCATCTTATCATCTGAAAAAGAGATCCATGAAATTCATGTGTGGACTACCAGTACTTTCTAACAGGTCTCAATTCTTTCTTTTTTAAATTTAGTTCCGAAGTATTCTAGATGGCTCTTTTCTCTCTATCTGATGTGTATCTTTATATTTTGTGCCTCTGAAAATCATCTCAAACCATTAATCTACTAAATCACTTCTGTTAAGTTTATATCATTCAAGAAATCTTCCTCACTTAAGTGGATCCATTCAGAACTCTAATCTCTCTCACTCTTGTCTATCAATTGTCTCCATTTCATATCCCTACAGAATTTGTCCCTTATGAAAATTAGCCTTCTTTAAAAATACAACTATAATGGGAGAAAGTGTTTCAGAGTCTTACACTATTCACTGAATTTGGTCAAACCGAGGCAATGACTTTTTTGACTACTGCCTGTTTCAAAAACACATGTGTCAATAAAATCACTCTCACAATCTCTACTAAAAAGGATAAACATGAGAATGCAATCACTCTTTTCCCATTTGGTATTAAACAAGGACTCATCAAAGTAATACTTTGTTAATGGAGACCTCAAATTACATGGTTTTCAACTTGCTACTTTCAGCAACATATTTCTCAGAATGGGAATGAATGGATCTCCCTTAAAAAAAATTACCAAGAAATCCACTTCTCTCTGCCATTTCAGGTTACATAGAGATAAAATTATTGTATTTAGAAACAGCAAACACTCAGTAACCTTTGAAAGTAAGAACTAAAACAGTGATTCAATATTAATCCCCCATAATTACAAAAAACTACTTCCAAGAACTCTCAATTGCAACGCTAAGCAAAAAGGCAAGCAAAAATATACCCTGCACATTTCTAGTTACAGATTTTTGATCACATCTAATCCCTCTCCTAGAATGTATCTCATCTCTAACCAAATTCTACATTCTTGAAGGACTAGTTAAAACCTCACAGCTTTGAATCATTTTTTGATCATATTAATTATCTTTTAAATTTCTTTCCCAGTCACTATACCATTCATTTGGCTCAACATAAATTGTCTTGTGTTGATTTACCTTTGTAAATGCGAATGTCTTGTAAACCAATTAGGCTATAAGGTCCTGGAGGGCACAGGCCAGTCCTGTACTGTTTTGTACCCTCTATGTTCCATAAAAGAACATGCATTTGAGATATTATCACTCAAATTTATTCTTGTCCTACACATGCAACTAAAATATCTCTTAGTCAATCTGGAGGAAAACCAGTCCTGTTATGTTCTTTAGAAAACTGAAATCATAACAAGGAGGAAAGATTATTTGACTGTAATTAAAAATAAATCATTTGCAAACAAGGCAACATTGTGATTTAACATTCTAAGTAAGTTCCACTAAATAAGTGTTTTAGGTCCCATCTTTCTTACCTTTCATAGGAGAGCCCTGAGGTGTGGCTGGGACATGGACTCCCATCCCTGGGCCACGGCGATAAGGAAAATTTTCAGGACTGTATTTTTCACATAATACTTGCATGAAACTTCTTCCACTAGGCTGATCCATCTTTCTTTCTTAAAATGCTACAAGAAACCAAGAAATCATCAAATTATGTATTTACTCACGTAAGAAGTATTTATTGAAAACCAATTATTTATAAAGTACTAGACTAGGCATTACAAGACATATGATACTCGGTCACTGACCCTATAAACATATACTGTGGTGACAGCTTACAATTTAGGGAAGCTACATATACAGACAAATGACAGCAATAACAGTTGAGCATATTATCTGCAATACAGATGAAAAGTATTACAAGATTTAGAAGAGGAGTTGATCACTTTCAAAAAAGGGCAAGGAGAAGGCTTTTGGCTGGTGCATAGGATTCATGTGGATAAGTAATTGGAGAAAGGTCTGAAAAAGAAGGTACAGATTGAGCACCAGGCTAAATAGTTTGGATGAATCCTTTAATATCTGTCCCTCAAAATCCATTATCTTCTTCCATAGTCAAAGAACCTTTAACTGGATAACTGTATTTGGGAATGAGTGCTGGCTAAGTTCTAGCTGATGGGATAGAACCCAAGTATTCTGTGGCAGCTTCTAGGAGTCATCCTTAAAAGATGACCAGAGTGTGCCATTTGCCCTCCTTCTTTGTTTCTTCCTCCATCTGTTGCCTAGAAAACTGATACCACCAGACAGTGAACCCAAGGAATATACACTAAGAAAAGTGGGACGAAGAGCTGAAAGGGCTTTGCATAGCTGAGGACTTCATGTAACTGAGCTGCCATACTGGTACATATCTCTGGAAATTTCCGTGACAGATGAATAACCTATTTTGCTTAAGCCATCGTTCTTCTCAATTTTTTAGTTACCTATAACTGGACCTACTCCTAAACAATACAAAATGTCATCTTTTTTCGTTCTGAGTTTGGGTAGGGTCCTTTCTGTTTAGCATCAGCTAAGGGTCCAAACATTGAATGACTCCAGCATCTGAGAAGATGAGTACTGAGGACTCATGCATACATTAAAACAGGTAATATTAAACAACATGCTAACTTCTGACAACCTGATAACTCATTACTTAAAGGGCTGTCCTATGACCATATTAAATATTAATCAAAATATAGGCAGCTAAAATTAACCTCTGTAATTTCAACTATTAGGTATCAGGCATTTTTTCTAAAATAATCAGAAGGGAGAAGGATATACGTACAAAAGAAGGGATATCATAAGAAAAGGAACGGCAGTCAATATGTATTATGGTATATATGAGTAAGCACAAAATATCTGATGTTGCCAAAGCAGCCTGCCAATGGTAGACATCATCCGGAGCATCTAAATAGGAACCTCAGAGGAGATCTTGTATACCACATTAGGAGGTTTAATGTTATCCTATAGGAAACAGAAAAAACTGAAAGGTTTTAAGGAAGGGAATACAACAACAAATTTTTAGGGAAAACTCATCCTGGAGCTGGTGAATATGAGGGAAAGAAGACTGAAGGTAGGGGGAAGAGTTAGGAAGATACTGCCAGAATACAGCAGACAGATCGTGAGAGCTTGAAGTCATTCAGTGGTAGAATAAATAGAAAGCAGAGGCATATTCATGATCATGTTAAAAAGCAAACTATTCAGAAATTACAGGGACTGAGGGAGAAGGTAAAGTCAAAAATGACTCCCAGGTTTCTAGTTCAGGTGACCAGGTGACTGGTGATACCATTAACTAACAAGAAAGCAGGAACAGAGCCAGTTGTACAGAAGAAAATGATGAATTCCACTTTATACATGTTCAATTTGAAGTGCCTGTGGAATATCCAGGGAAACAATCTGGAGTTGCATGAGAAAAATGAGCTAAAGATGAAGATTTGGACACCTTTATGATACACAAAATGTTATGAATAAGAACAATAACACAATAGTCACTGATATTTAAGGGACAGGAAGAGGAAAGAGAGTCATGAAGAAAAAGAAAGAAAACAGCCAGACAGTAGAGTGTTTAGCCAACATTTCAAGAAGCTTTGCTGGGAGTGGAGAAGGAAGATGGGATGATAAGAGAGTAGGGAATCTGGGCAACTGTCAAGATTTTATATCTTAAAATAAGAGAGACCCGAACATGGTTATAGATTACAAGGAAGAAGCCAGTAGCCCTGAAGAGGCTGAAACATCACTACCCGTACTTTTTCCTAGAAGAAACCAGCAGGAACGAGCACTGAAAAGCTTCTCAGAAGGCTGTTTGGTATTAGCCAGATAATGCTTCAAATTGCTTCCCATTAGTGGTGACATGTTTACTTCACTATAGTTACTGGTTTACTTTTGCTTATATTGTTTAATTATAATGAACGTTAGGTATTTTTCTTATGTGATTATCCTATCTCTACCATTACATTAGAAAGGGGAGTGGAAGCGTGTAATCCTATTTCCTTCAGTATCAATTCATAGCATCAGGCATAGTTTATTATACATGGTAACTGTTTGATAAATGTTGCCAAGTATTAAAATCGCTAGCCTCTCAGGTGCTGAGAAGAAAGGGCAGAGAATTCCGGATGAAGGGTAGGTCTAGGCCCCACTCAGTTCTGATTACCTAATAGTTCTGTACCATCAGGCAAGTCAGTGCTATCTGAAATGTCTTCAACTGTAAAATAAGGTATTAACATCTCTAGTACCTGGATTACAGGGTTGCTGTAGAGCCCTAAAACATACAAATGCACTATTTGGATTACAGGGCCATTGTAAAGTTCTAAAACATATAAATGTTAATTCTAAGAGGAAGTTGTAGTACAACAGAAAGCACATGGACATAGGAAATTTAAGCTCTTTCCCTAGCTGGGTAAACCACAGGCTAATTACCTAATCTCTCTCTACTTTAATTTTCTCACTTATATATGGTCTAAACCTTCCTCTCAGGTTTGTAATAAGAATTTGAAAAAAGTATGAATATAAAAGTGGTTGTTCAACT